ATTGTCCTGGCCACGTTGACAGCCAACATTTCAAGTGAGTGGCTTGGTTCGAATGGTACGATAAAGTACGAAAAATTAATCGTACTTTCGTACCGTAGGATGAGCCTCATCGCACTGTTTTGGATTTTCTCTATGCTTTGTTTCTCGCACTGGAAGGCAACTAAAAGGACAGGAGAGGCATAATCTATGACAGCTCTGACGATGGCAATGTACATGAGACGTAGGACCCTGACAGAGGCTCCTTTGAGGCCGTGGGAGATGACGTGGGCGGCGACAGTGGAGGCTCTAGTAGTGGCACGCACGGGTAGACCAAGGTACCTGTAGGTGCGTACTTGTTCAATGTCTTGTCCCTGCAGAGTCAGTGGTGTCTGACGCTGGAAGTGTGAGATGAACTTGATTTTAGTGTGTGAGATGACTAGCCCAAGTGTTTGACAGGTTCGGGCGAACATGGAGAGTATAGGTTGTTCATGTTGCACTGTAGTAACTTGGAGGAGATCGTCAGCGCAATTTATGATTTGTCCGTCTAGGGCTCGCTCAGCAAAGATGTCGTTGAGGCGGCAAATGGAGTTCATGAGAACATTAAAGAATGTAGGGCTGAGGACACCGCCCTGAGGCGTGCCAAGATCAAGGTCCCTGATCATAGAGTAGTGACCCTGAAAACGGACACGGGCCTATCGATGGGAGATGTTGCCAGCAATCCACGTGAGGAGTTTGCCCTTCACATCCATGTGCGTGAGGCCCTCAAGGATCAATTCACTGTTGGCTTTATCAAATGCACCCTTAAAATCGATGAAAAGGGAAGTTTTGGCTGAGGTGTTCGCCATGTAGTGAGCGATTCAGTGAGCAGTACTCTTCTCAGGGCGAAACCCATAGAGGTCAGGGTGCAGGTGGGCTTCAATTTTCCAGTGGAGACGGTGGTGCTATCATGCGTTCCATCATCTTTGAGAAGCAGGATATGAGGGAGATTGGACGATATTCGTCTTGTCTGCCTGATTTAGGGACTGGGATGGTGGTGGCAGTCTTCCATAAATGGGGCAGCTGACCAGTGTCATAAGAGAGGTTAAATAGACAGAGGAGGGGATCACCAGGGGTGGCAAGAAGGGCATTTAGCACATCATATGTGACGCCGTCAAAGCCAGGGGCGGTGGACCGACCGCGCTTAACAGCATTTAGTAGTTCACACCGTGTGAATGGCAAGTCAGTGTCTGCAGGTAGGTCTTGGTACTCAGAGATGGGCTGTCGGCGTTGTGGTTGCAGTGCGAGGGTGAGGTCACGTACAGCAGGTAGTAGTGCGTCGGTGGAGGCGGCCTCCTGCCACGTCTGGGAGAGCACCTCGGCACGGGCAGCAGGTCTGGGGTGGAGCGCGGGCCTGGCGTTGGTGCCCAAGGCACGGTTAATGGTGCGAAATCAAACCACTGCTTCTCTCATGCGAGAGTGATGGCAGATTGGAGCTCTTTATTTGTGCGGATCAGGAAGCGTAGAGCGTCAGGGGAGCTGGGAGATTTCTTCCACTGGTCGACTGCTAGTCGGTGCCATACTCGGATAGACTTAACATGAGGATCGCGGTTAACATTCCACTGACTCCTGGGCTGGAGGTTAGGGCGGCGGTGTTTTAGAACAGGGCGGAGGAGGGAAGTGCATTGTTTGGACAGATCAAGGTAGAGTTGGTCTGCGGTAGTGACAGTGTAACCCTGAAACCATTCAGCAATGGCGGTGATGAAAGCAGGTACGTTGGCAGGGGGTAGGCTGAGCCTAGGGCACTAGGGTGGGGCGGGTACTCTCACGTACTGGAGGGTAGTGTGGATAGGGAAATGGTCACTGTGAGGGGAGTGAAGGATGCGGGTGGAGTGTGGACGGTGAGGGTCAGAGTAGAGAGCGATGTAGTCAAGTTTCCCTCCCCCGATGTGGGTGAGTGGGTGAGGGAGGGTAGAGGAGACGTACAGGGTAGGTACGAGAGCCAGGAGTTACCCCGAGAGTTTGAGTGGGGGCCCCTGGGAGCCGAGACTGGGGTGCCGGGCATTGAGGTCCCCCACAAGGAGGGTGGGGATGGAGGTGATATGGTGTGATAGGACAGGTACAGTAGTATCGGCATCAAGGGAAGGGGGTTCGAGAGTTTGGTAGGGAACATCCTTCTTGACGTAAATACGTAGTCCACGTGCATGTCCTCGTAGTGGTCCATCATCGAAGCGGAGAACTGGGTGGGCCTCAACGGTGGTTGGGCACTCCCTTCCCTTCCATTTAACAATGACCGCGGCTTGTGGGGTGTTCCTCCGGTAGTGTTGACGTACACTGAGTATACGTGGATTAAAGTCACGAGCATCTTTTATCAGCGTATAGGGGGAATTGTTTAACTAGGATGTGGAAACATTCCTCTGCGTCCACTGATGGGGGCTCCAGGACAACCCCGTCAAACCCAACAGTACTAAGTGTTTCATAGACCTCAGGAATCTGACACTTGATAAAGTTCCGATTCTTACCTTTTTGAAATTGAATGTTTAGACCGTGTTGTCTGCAGTACTTCATCGTCCAATTAAAGCATTCCTCGACGGTTTTCAGTGAATCCTTGGGGAAGTGCAGGTTCAGCTTATTTAACTGGTTGGCAGGGGGGGGGGGGACGGCCCACCGCCCGTGGCATTGTTGTTATCACTCCGGCTAGTGTTTCCCATAGAAACAGAACTGTCACAATCACTGGGTCTGACTCTTGAAGGGAGTTGGATTCAGTATGACCAGGCGAGATGACATCCATGCCTCTTTTGGGGCATTTACGACGACCCCCCATGCTAGCAAAATTTGCCGGCTGAGGTGAGTCGGGTCTGAGGGAACCTTTTTTGGGATGATCGGGAAGTCAAGAGCACCTATGGGCACGTCTGTTCTCTTATGTGGTTACGCCACAACATAAATTAAACCGCTGCCAGTCCGACCTCTCTACATTGACCTTGTGTACACTTTACACATTACTGCTGGACATGCGTCAACATTAAAATTGCCGCATTTAAATACTAAAGTACCAGATAACCTGTTACTCAGGTGCGACCCATCATGTCTTCCACAAGACGTCTTGACGACAGGAATGATAAATGTGAGTGACGAGTGAGTGGTGTCTCATTTTGTCAATATAAAGGTTACAAATGGTACAGGTATTACATATCAGAATGTCGCTATTTAATTTCAGGATAAAAATAGAACTTATTGGGAGATGAAGTTAAAAAAATATCTATTTACAACAATTAAAAGCAGAAATGAACATGGGTAGGTCACATCTTCCGCAGAACAACTCAGAGGAGCCGCAAACAGAGAGAAGGCCGGAAAGCAGCCATCCCCCTGGACTCCCCGCCCACCTGATACGATGTTCTCCGTAAACTTCTCGTACGTCTATGGGAAAGGGTCGCGGAAAGGGGACGTGATTTCTGCCCGTATCATCATTGGGTATGACTTTGCTTGGGAGATTGGTATCCCCGCATCCCCTGAGCAACGCTCTTGTGCATTATGCAGAAGACCCGACAGCAGCACCCTTATCCACTACCTCCTAAGATGTCCCCACACACAACGCTTCCGTGACGCCTGCTGGACCACCACTCCACGACTCCCTGACGGAGACACGATGATCCTCCCCTACTGGCCAGATATTATGTAAATAACATTGATTATGTGTTAAAGGAATATCCTTCCTTCCTTCCTTAGGCTTTAGTAAGCCCCTTTATAATATTTATACTGTATATACTTGTCACACTTGCCAGATGCTTGTGGTGTCATTGTACAGGGGTACCTAGTGACAGCACTAGGATCCCGCTTCCTTTATCAAGGAATAAACAATTGAAATTGAACTCAGAGGTGGAGCGACAGAGCGAGGCAGGAGAGGCGCTATTCGTAAATTTGCCGGCTTGTGCGTGGTGCCTTGGAGAGGACGGGCAGATAAACCACCACTTCAGTGTTATATTTACACATATAAACTGTCAACAACATATTCGTAATGTTTCCATAACTTGATTTCATCTGTCACATCATAATTTTTACTATTTCTCACGAATTATTCCTTATACAAAATCTAACACACATATTTATATTTGAACAAAAAATATAAAAGAAAGAAAACAGAATAATCAACACGGCCGAACACAAATCGCAAAGCCTGAAGAAAATACCGTAAAATACACCACTAAGATCTAGTTTATGAACACAGGAGAAAACGTCCAGAAGCTGTCATTATGTCAAGGACTACTGTTGGCTCCTGCATGTTCATAAATCTATGGTTGTCATGGGAGGGTGGAGCAGCATCAGGGCCACCGCCAGCCAGCATGTAGAGCGTGAGAGCTGTGTCTGCCGCCCTGCTCTTGTAGCCGTTCTCAACGCTTCACTGAATATTGGTTGTAGCTGACGCACTGACGTCACTGCTCGCTTGGTGAACATCAGCTGAGGTTGGACGTGTGATCTGGTGCACTGACGTCATTGCTCGCTTGGTGAACATCAGCTGATGAGTGATCAGTGGTTCTCATTTCCTTAACTCCTTCACTCAGGGGGGTTCGATATGATCACCAAATGCTAAATGAGAGGGAGTGTGTGAGGGAGGGTGTGTGTGTGTGTGTGAGAGGGGTGTGTGTGTGTGGAGGGAGGGTGTGTGTGTGTGTGTGAGAGGGGGTGTGTGTGTGTGAGGGAGGGTGTGTGTGTGTGTGTGGAGGGAGGGTGTGTGTGTGTGTGTGTGTGGGGAGGGAGTGTGTGTGTGTGTGTGTGAGGGAGGGTGTGTGTGTGTGTGTGAGAGAGGGTGTGTGAGTGTGTGAAAGGGATGGCGTGTGTGTGAGGGAGGTGGTGTGTGAGGGAGGGTGTGTGTGTGTATTCGTAAGAGGTCGACCAGGTAAGGCCCTTTGACTCTATGGGGTGAACAAATAATAAACTAATTCAGATCTAGTCTCTTTTTTCATAGTAATTAATTTTGGTATGAATCTGCAATCAGTGTATTAAGTTTGGTTTTATGGTAGATTGATAGATCCCTTTTTGTATTGCAGATGTTGTGAGAATCGTTTGAAGGTTGATGACCGCCTCTCAAGTTCCTTACATAATTATTGGATATTTTCTCATGGATTGTCTTCAAGAGCTTGATGATAAATCTTGAGAGTGAACAGTGATGAGTCATTTGGAGTCAAGCAGGTAGAGCTCTTTAGGAAGTTATAAAACCTCATTTAAGAGCCTTATATACTGGGTTACCAGAAGCTCCCACGAGTGGTAGGAAGGCTTTATCGATTTACAAAGCTCTACAGATGATCGGATAAAAGTCAGTGATGAATTTAAGGCTCCCGAAATAACAGCGCATTATGATTACAAAATGCTCAAGTGATTAAGTATACTCGAGTGAATTCGCAGCTATGCTCCCCTTCACTGCTACCTGCTGGCGACCACTGGTAACTCCATAAGATACAACGGTGATCTGCTCTATAAGGGCGCCTCCGAGTCTGAAGGTTGGTGAACACTGGGGACCTCAAGTGCTGTTGTGGGTGAAGTTGTTGGTGTTTTGTGTCATTAAGTTTAGTAAAAGATTGTATTTAATATCAAGCTGAAAGTAACAGAAGTGGCGTATTGAATGAAGATCTTTCGAATCCAAAATCGTGATGGAATAACATTGGCCTTGTAACTTGACCATCAACCAACATACAATCATCTATATCTACCTCACACACACACTGACACACAGAAGGAGACGATTACTGCCAACATCAAGTTTCCAGGACTAAAGAAAAAAGAGAGGAAAGATAAAAAATCGTCTCATGTTTTCTACTTCTCGTAAATTTAGGTTAAATAAAAGTGAAACACTGATCATATAAATAACGGCAGAAATCAGAGTCTGAACGGGTTTTCGAGCCCATCCCACACCACTCTCTCACTCAATAAACACAGATTTAACAAGTTCATAATAACAGGGATGGAATAACGCAAAAAGTTACTTGTTTACATTAGTTGACGTTTGAAAAAAAGAATATTGAAAATATGTGATAAGATAACTCTAATTAAGCTGAAGTGTGGAGGCGTTCTGGCAGGAAAAAAATGACAGCCCTCACATTACTACTGTATATTGCAGTAAAGAGTATAAAGATCGAGGAAACAAGTGAGGAACTTATGTTATATCGCATCAATGAGTGTACTTGTTGACAGTGTTCCACGACCTCTGTCACTTAAGATGGCGGAGGACGTGACATTCCACCTGAGTCTGGTTCCCCTCAGCATCGACACCCAGTACTTTTCCCCCTCACACATCATCGACTGGATGACTAAATTCCAGTGGTGGGAGTGGCTCATCATCCTCAAGGTGGGCTTCATCTTCTGGGTGCTCAACATCACCATCATTCTCCCGTCTATATACATGCAGGTCAGTGTTTCTCTTGTTGCAGTAGTTAAGGTCAACGACTTAATGTATGAAAAAAAAAAAACTTAACCCCTTGAGTCTCATCGCTTGACAATTTAACCACGATCAGTTTGTAGTTTTAACATTACCTACTTAATTAATAAGTATGGCAATTTAATTCAATGAAAGCAGTTACCTAGCAGCTGAAACGATAATCAGTACGTGGATTCAGGCTTTAGCTAACAACTATATAGTGTTTTCATCATATTTTTTTTTATTGAATATATACTTTTTTTTCTCTGGTAGAACGAATTATTTGATTATGATGATGATGAACAACAACTTAACCTTGGAGTATTATGACTGAACCCCTTGAATACAATGACTTAACCCCTTCAGTACCATGACTTAACCCCTCGAGTACTATGATTTAACCCATTCAGTACTATGACTTAACCCCTCGAGTACTATGATTTAACCCCTTCAATACTATGACTTAACCCCTTTAGCTAGCAGGGGTACACTTTTGCTAGGAGGGGTACACTATAGCTAACAGGGGTACACTTTTGCTAGGAGGGGTACACTTTAGCTGAGAGGGGCACACTTAATTGGGGGATACATTTTAGCTAGGAGGGGCACAATTTACCTAGAAGAGGAACACTACAGCTAGGAGAGGTACACTTTAGCTAGGAGGGGTACACTTTAGCTAGGAGGGGCACACCTTAGCTAAAAGAGGTACACTTTTGCTTGGAGGGGAACACTTTATCTAGGAGGGGAATACTTTAGCTAGGAGGGGTACACTGTAGCTAGGGGGGAACACTTTAGCCTGGAGGGTAAACTTTACCTTGGAGGGGAACGCTTTAGCTAGGAGGGGAACCATTTAGCTAGGAAGGGTACACTATAACTAGGGGGGGCACACTTTAGCTAGGAGGAGAACACTTCAGTTAGCAGGGGAACACGATAGATAGGAGGGTACACTTTAGTTAGGAGGGAACACTTTATCTAGGAGGGGTACACGTTAGCTAGGAAAGGCACGCTTTAGCTAGGAGGGGAAAACTTTAGCGAGGAGGGGTAAACTTTAGCTAGGAGGGGCACACTTCAGGTAGGAGGGGCACACTTTAGCTTGGAGGGACACACTTCAGGTAGGAGGGGCACACTTTAGCTTGGAGGGACACACTTCAGGTAGGAGGGGCACACTTCTGGGGGGCACACTTGGCTTGGAGGGACACACTTCAGGTAGGAGGGCACACTTGGCTTGGAGGGGACACACTTCAGGTGAGGGCACACTTCTTGGAGGGCACACTTTAGCTAGGAGGGACACACTTCAGGTAGGAGGGGGCACACTTCAGGTAGGAGGGGCACACTTCTTGGAGGGGCACACTTCAGGTAGGAGGGGAACACTTTAGCTAGGAGGGGAACACTTACGCTAGGAGGGGAACACTACAGCTAGGATGGGTACACTTTTGCCAGGAGGGAACACTTTAGCTAGGAGGGGAACACTTTAGCTAGAAGGGACACACTTCAGGTAGGAGGGGCACACTTTAGCTAGGAGGGGAACACTTTTGCCAGGAGGGAACACTTTAGCTAGGAGGGGAACACTTTAGGCAGGAGGGAACACTTTAGCTAGAAGGGACACACTTCAGGTAGGAGGGGCACACTTTAGCTAGGAGGGGAACACTTTAGCCGGGAGGGAACACTTTAGCTAGAAGGGACACACTTCAGGTAGGAGGGAACACTTTAGCCAGAAGTGGTACAATTTAGTTAAAAGGGGTACACTTTAGTTAAGAGGGGTACACTTTAGCTATTAGGGAAACACTTTAGCTAGGAGGGGAACACTTAAGCTAGAAGGCGCACACATTAGCTTGGAGTGGTAAACTCTTGCTAGGTGGGGTACACTTCAACTAGGAGGAGAACACTTTAGCTAGAAGCGGCACACTTTAGCTAGGTGGGGTAAAGAAGGTCCCTAACCCAAAATTTATAACTTTAGCCCACTTTAGCTTGGAGGGGCCCACTTTAGCTTAGAGGGGCACACTTTAGCTTGGAGGGGCACACTTTAGCTAGGAGGGGAACACTTTAGCTAAAAGGGGAACACTTTAGCTAGGAGGGACACACTTTAGCTAGGAGGGGAACACTTTAGCTAAAAGGGGAACACTTTAGCTAGGAGGGACACACTTCAGGTAGGAGGGGCACACTTTAACTTGAAGGGGAACACTTTAGCTAGGTGGGGTAAAGAAGGTCCCTAACCCAAAATTTATAACTTTTGCATCATGAGATAATTTGCCATCACCTATTAGAACAGACTCAGCAGACATTCCCTGTTATTTAGGTTCAGTACTGAGCAGCGCTGGTCCTCGAGGTCATCAGAAGGAGGCATTATCGAGGCCGGAAATTGCTCAGATTGGTTAATTATCTTGAAGAATTTACCTGGTATTTGTGTATAATGGCTGAGAAAGCCGGGAGGGGTAGGAGCGAGAAGACCGCAGCCCTCAAGTAGTTAGGTAATTCCGTGATGATGATGATAAAGACTGTTTATTATGGTTTTTCAAGGAGTAAATAAAAGTAATACCAAGACACGATATTAAGACTGTGGTTGGTGATTTAAATGCCCTGCCTTTCATTACTTGAGGATCGGTGAACTTATTTTCGTTTGGTCATATTAAGTTAGAACAGGTTTATTGTGAACAACATACAAATATTATTTTTTTTAAATACACTGAAATACTATACTAGGTTCCCAGAGGCGGACCAGTTAACTCACAATGACTTCCTGTGATACACCGTGGCAGGAAGTGTTGCAAGATAAAGACATCCAGCATACATCACCCACCACCACAGTCTGAGTCATTCACGACGTGGATGCCAATCATGGGAGCGTCTTACGATTATGACGATATATGAAGCTGTTTCCGGCAAATTCCTCCAAATCAATTCTTCGAAACATACATTGTGAACATTACATGTTCACTACATCATTATCCTTAAAATGCTCACATACAACATTGGCTGTTTGTTTCGCTATAATTCCTTTAAGAACAGAAACTTGGAACTAAGGTCACCATTAGGTCAAGGGGTAATACCCCATGACATGAATGACCTCGACCTCACACGAGGTAAAGTGACCTCCCGACATACGGTTTTGATGTGTTAAGGCCAGTCCACACGATCGAGCAGTGCCCGGCGGGCACGCCCTAAATGCCGGTTATCGGGCAAAATTGGCAGGCAAACCAGGGGAGTGCCCGTGCCCGTCGTTGAGGGAAATCATGGTCCGCCTGCCTGGCGGTTTGCTGCCCGATAAGGAGCGGCGACTCTGCCAGACAAACGAAGTTGACTCTGGGACTCTTATTATGTGGAGAGGGTCTTAAAATCTTTAATTGCAGACTACATACGTTGGGGTGTATGTAATTATTATGTGAAATAAAGTTTGTCTTTATACAAGTTGTGTCAATCATCAATATCTTATTTGCAAACAACCTAGTGTCCCAAACAAGTCCATCATGTATCATGTGTATGGCAGGGTTACCCCCTTCACAAATACTAATATGTTTTAATATCATTTTCATTATTAATAATCGACAAAATCGGAAAACCGACATTCCTATAATATTGTCATTAATATTCAACATTACACAAGCCTGCAATACAAGACACGTGTTATTATTGGAACCTCACGTGACTGTCAAAAACAGCTGATCACTACGCCACCGCTGACCTCGGGGGTCGGGGTCCTCAAGTAGGTGAGGTATGAACAGAGATACTGACAAAACGTATGCTAGCACTTTGTTAAACCTGAGTTAAGTCCTGCAAATGTGATACGTATATGTTCCCCGCTTGGTCTAGATATCCAGTGTATAACCAAATAAGCAATCATTTCAAACTCTATTCGAAATCACCTGGAGAAGCACAGATTGATCAATGATTCCCAGCATGGCTTCACAAGCGGACGTTCTTGCCTAACTAATCTATTAACATTCTTTTCATCAGTTTTCGAATCGGTGGACGAGGGGCACAATTATGATGTGGTATATCTCGACTTTAGCAAAGCCTTCGACAGAGTCCCCCACGAAAGACTAATTAGAAAGGTAGAAGCTCATGGCATCAAAGGTGACATCCTTAAATGGATTAGGGCATGGTTACAGGACAGGAAACAGCGAGTGAGCATTAACCGCACTAAGTCCCATTGGAGCAACGTCACAAGTGGAGTTCCCCAAGGCTCAGTACTTGGACCATTATTATTTATTATATACATAAACGACATAGATATCGGCATTGACAGCAACATAAGTAAATTTGCTGATGACACTAAAATAGGAGGTGTTATCAAATCTGACGAGGACTCGGCAAAACTACAGGAAGATCTAAACAAATTTTTCGAATGGTCTGAAAAATGGCAGATGAAATTCAACGAGAAAATGTAAAGTACTCAGTATAGGAGATGTAAACAGGGAAACCAGATACCAGATGAACAACGATGCCATAGAGAAATCCGACTGCGAGAGAGATTTAGGAGTAATGATAAGTAGGAACCTTAAGCCAAGGAAACAATGTGTTTTTGCTCGTAACAAGGCTAATAAAGTACTTGGGTTCATACAAAGGAGTGTTACTTACAAGACTAGTGAGGTCATCCTAAAACTGTATCTTGCTCTTGTGAGACCACACCTGGATTACGCAGTTCAGTTCTGGTCACGGTATTACAGAATGAATATAGAATCCTTGGAAAGAATTCAGAGGAGAATGACAAGACTAATCCCGGGCTTTAGGAACCTTGAGTATAGAGACAGGTTAAAGCATCTTAATTTGCACTCCCTTGAGAGACGTAGAGCGAGGGGCGACCTGATAGAGGTGTATAAGTGGAAGGCAGGGCTAAACAAGGGGACATTACAAAGGTACTCAAACTATCCAACCAGGAGCGAACTCGTAACAATGGTTTTAAATTAGACAAATTTAGATTTAGGCGTGAAATAGGTAAACACTGGTTTGGAAACAGAGTAGTGGATGAATGGAACAAGTTACCAAATATCATCATTAACTCGAATACGCTGAATTGCTTCAAACATAGGTTGGATGCTCATATGAGCAATAGGGGTTGGGTGTAAACGGGACTGCCCAGTATGGGCCAATAGGCCAGCTGCAGTTTCCTCATTCTTATGTTCTTATGTTATGTATTATGCAGGGCCCGATTCAGGGGTGGGCAAAGTGGGCAGCTGCCCAGGGGCCTCCACATATTACAATATTTTATTTATTTGTTTATTCATTTGGATTATTTTTATTTTCATTCTTTAAAATTCATGTTTATCTATTCCATGCATTCTTGGACAACCATTATTTGAGTAGAGGTTTATCCGATTAATAATGCAGAGAATCATCTCTCTGTAGTAACTAATAATATATTCTTTTCTGTGAAGTCTCTTGAAAAATTTTGACATGTGCGGTAGTAGCTATATCAGAACTGGTCGACTTGAAACCATATGAATGACCTTGTAATGAGGACTCGAAACTGCAAACCAAAGGATAACACAATTGGGAAGTTGAAACTTTCCTCACCAGTCGGCGCTGTTAGATTGTCTCAGAGCATGTAACAGATGGATAACTAAACAAGAAATTAAATTATTAAAAAAAATTAACCCCCCCCGGTATCATTAGGGTGTTTATTGACAAGTGAAATCAGCTGAGCGCTTGTCTTCAGGTGATTCATGTAGTATTTATATAAAAAATAAAGAATAAAATGTCCGCCTAAGAGGCAAACTTCTCTAAACTTTTAGGATTCAGTAAAAAAGATTTCCTTTTCTTTGATCGGAAAATAAAATTACACTATGATAACTAGTATGCCACTGTAACGTTATGTGACATCTTTACTGTAAAACTGTAATATATTGTGTTATTCTGTCTTTGTAATGGTGTGTATGAGCTCTACTATGCTGCTGAAATATGTGTTTATTACCTCTATCATTACATCCTTGTCACCACTCTAACCAATGTAAGATTTCATCCAATACTTCTTACACTGGTGGATGCTGTAGTGTACCGTGACTGCCTTAAAATGATTAGATCAGGTTGGAAGACATTCAGCCTATGGTACAGTTGACCAACCCTCGCCACACGCCTATAAAGATGGAATCCAGTCCCGCACTGGGGATATTTCACTTTCCACGCTTATCTGTACAGTCGCTCAAAAAATTATCCATACAAAATTATGTCGAGAAAATATGACATAACGGATGAAGGATTTTGACAGCCCTACCATCAACCCCCCCCTCCCCACCGTACAAATAGTTTTTTTTGTGTGACTGCACAGTACACACAGGTTTGGCGTTGAATGTCACAACGTTCACAATTTCGTGTTTGGTGGAAGTGTCATGTGTTGTTGTGTTGCAGGTGATGTTGTACACGGATGAGATGACGTCACGACAAACACTGGAGCCGACCGCCATGCTGGAGGAGCTGAGGCACATAGTGACGTGGGCCCTCACCAAGTACTCCCTCCTGCAGAAGGTGACACTATGTTCACTCTGTCCCTTCCACTCATCTACTTCCCATCAACATTTCTCTCATATTACTTAAAACAAAATTTACCTGAAATTTTGTTCTGCCCTATTCATAAAATACACCAGAATGGACATGATAAATTAGTATGCCTGCAGATAAATCTGTAGAAACGGCACTACTGGCGCGGTGAGTCACGGATAAGTTGGCAATTCCTCGCTTTGTCCACCAGAGTTTTTTTTTTGAGAAAATTAAAAAGAAGGAATGAGTGGGTGGCAAGGGATCATTTAAAGCAGCGCTTCTCAAACTATCTGATGTGGCGGACCGGCATGGTTTTTTTTCAATGTGCCACGGACCGGCGAGCGAAGCGAGCCAATCCCGGGGCCTATAGGCCCCCCCCCCCCAGGAAAATCTTTTGAGATATGTCCCACAATAATTTTTTGTTTTTCAAATTTACACAGGAATAGTGTGAACCGGCCTTTAAGATTATTAGTACTTACATTTTCAGATCAGTGGGTTGGGATGGGGGTCCCAAATGACAAACACGCAGATACCCGTATGATGCTCTCTGTTCCACTTCTTGATGGTAACTAACCACTGACCTGTGACCTGACATCACAGACTGCTGATCCACACGTGTGGAATAGCAGGGTTGCCAGCTGTGTGACACCCTTCACGGCTGGCACGCATAGTAAAAAATCGGCCATTTCTTTTAATGGGATGCATACATTTATTTTATCCGAAATTAAATAACTACCATACTTAAAATAAAAAGATTTATGTTTTGGGTGGATATGGCGTAACTGGTGGCCGAGAAACGTGGCAATTCTGGCAACACAAGGTGATGCGCCCTATTGATATCCCCAGGTGTGGTTCCCGCAGAGTCAAACGCCACATCATCATGAAGGTGTTGTTATACGTATTTCAGTTCGCTGTTTTTCTGTTCATTATATCGCATTCGTTAGTTGCATAGCAATGACTTTTAACATGAGTGAGTAAATGAAAAATATAGCCATAATAAATATAAAAACTACAATGAAAATGTAAAAAAAAAAAAAGACCGAGTCAGATGTCCCGGTAGTGTCACGTGGAGTGGAACGTGACTATCGTTTCTTTCTTTTCTGAAAACTCTCCGCGTACCGGCAGACGATGGCTCACGGACCGGCACCGGTCCGCGGACCACACTTTGAGTAGCACTGATTTAAAGAATCCTCCACCACCACCGTGTTCTAACTGATGAATGCTTCCCTCACTAGTTTTGGTACCTTAAGCTTACTCATGAATGTATTATGTAATTCGGGACGCAAAAATACAACATAATCACAATGAGTTTATTAAAGAAAAAAGAAAACATGAGCACTATGTATGAAGTTGCCTACAGAACTGGTTAGGTTAGATTAGGGGTGAGCCAAACCTCTCACTAAGTAAAGATAATCCTTACCTCGCCGTGACTAGTCACTGATAGCATTACCCGAGCACTGGGTCATTATTATCAACTGAAGAGTAACCACCCGGAGCGCACCCACCTGAAGAATTCCCCCTTAACGCGGCCTGCGGGGGGGGGGGTTCGTATGATCCTAAAAAATGTAGATTAAAAAGAGAGAACTCGGTGTTGCAAATACTCTTATAAATGAACTATCGGTTGTAGATCCTGTCATATACAGTACAGGGGAGCGAGTTAATTATTCACGGCCAGTGGAGCTGTTGCTATCTCGTCAGTACTGTTGGCGGTAAATATTCACCCACCGGCTGTCTTCAGGTTTTAATACGAGAATAGTTTTTTGTGTGTGTTTTACTCACATCTGACCTTCATTTCTCGTGCAAATTAGCGGTTTTTGTAAACAAATTTATTTTAATTTTTAACAGAAGCCGCTAATTTGCACAAAAATGGGGGTCAGATTTCAGTAAAACATACCAAACTCACCAAAAAACCTATTCTCATACCAAAGGAACCTGACCTAACCTAACCTACAAGGAGGAGGAGGAAAGGAGACAAGTGACTGAGTCGCATAGCCTCAGGTAAACATGGCGGGAATCTGCGGATAGCCAATGGACGAATATTAACCCTGGTGCCTAGTAACAGGCCTCGTGTACACGTGTCATTGAAACTGTCCATTGTTGTTGTCGTGCCTTGATAATCCGGAAAGATTCGTGTGGGAACGCCTATGACGCTGTTCAGCGCTAGTCCCGGGTGCACCTGTGCTACGGATGTTGTGCTCTCATTGGGTTTCCTGAGCGTTCCCATAGTGTTTGTACGAATTGTAATATATCTGGCATCCTGGCTTGAAACTTTGCGAAGTGTTTTACAGGACTTGGTTATTCTTTATCGGTGATAAATAGCATTACTTACCGCCAAAATACTCACCATCTCAGGAAGCAGTAGTCATGCCAGGAGATAAAAATGTTGTAATTCTCATAAACTCGACAAACACGTGAGTTACAACATTACTAGGTGAGCACAACCTTGGAAACCGACAATTCCTGGTAAAAAAAATGAAGTAGGAAAATTACACAAAGATTATAGTCTTGAGGCTGACACACAAGAGAATGGAATTAATGTAAGAAACTTGACTTGCGGAAGTAAAAAATTTTAACGTTATGTAAGACTGACAAACAACATCGCCATCTTCACCTACGTTTATTTTTAAGCGTTAAAGTTTATCAAATTACTGCCAAATATTTATTAACATTTGTGTGACCAGGAGACGAAATAACATATAATTTGTAATAATATATAGTACTGTACTTGTTGCTGGCAAAACTTTGAGTCTAGCAACTCATAACGTGTTCCCTGAAGAAGAAGAATCACGTAACAATCACTTGAGACGTTAAAGCTTCTCATAACTTCGCTAAGGGTGTCGGTGTACAGTACATTTTGGGCTAAGAATCGTTTGAACATCCAACAAGTGCATTACATTCTTCACGTAACATCGTTTAGCCAGTTATATGAGCCTAGTGATCGCCGCTGGCTTGTGCACGTAGTCACTGATCACTGTTGCTTATCATCTTAGAACATAAGAACATAAGAAAATAAGGAGTCTGCAATAGGGGTCCTTAATTGATATACAACGCCCTTATTTGATATTAGCAAAGCATACCCCACTTATTGACAAATGAAATATTATGATACCCTACAGTAATACTCAAACTGGGGGGTAAGCAGCAGCTCTCATACTCCAACGTAAGGTTTGTTTCACACACGCTCGTGTGAAGTAGGCCTAAGTTATGCCTAAAGTAGTGAACATGTGTGGCAGGTCATCAACTACCGTCGCTACATCACCTTACCTCCCCCTACTGCACACGTGGATCCTGTAATGTCAAAAGGGGAGAAGGTCCAAGATGTGGGCATTTTGAGGTCATTTTGACGACATATGCACCTGATATTGGGAGATATTCAGAGGTCAATAGTCCTTACTTTTCACTATAAAGAAAATGCTTGAGTACAATGTTGAATTAAAGAAAAAATATTCGAATTTTCTGACGAAAAGGGGTGCTACTGACCCCCAGAACCGCCCCTGTACTGGGCCAACCTTCCAGTTGCGTTGTTGTTAGTTTTCAACTCAATTTTTTTAGTAAATGTATATAGTGATGTCCCCATTAACCCGGAACAATTGGTGCAGAGCACTTCCGGGGATGACAGATTTCTGGCTAACCAGACGACTTTCTCAAACCCATAAAAATTTCAATCTCCAGAATCTTTTCTGGTTCTTTTCTGGTTACTGGGAAAAGTTTCTGGGTGGTCTAAACTAGACATCGTGCACACACCGACACTAGCCCACTTCCCCAGAACGAATCTGGGTGCTGCGGATGTTTTCCTTGAATTTTAACTACCTGAATCCGTAAATGCAGCTCTAATTTCGTTAGAAACTCCATTTCTTTACTATAATAACCAAGAATAGTTATTTAGAGGTTTGGTTAAATAAATATTTTTAAAAATTAAAAATCTATAGCATATGGGCATGAATGAAGCTGTGTGTTACAGCAAAGACTGGTATTTTCCACTCCCATGGAGCTGTGGGGGATTAGTGGGTCTTGTGTAACTGACCTGACCTGATGCAGTGTCAGGTGGAGGTAGGGTGGGGAATTATTGTTCTCTTACTACTGACCTCATGCAATGTCAGGTCGCCCTTTCAAAAGAACATAAGAACATAAGAAGATAAGGAGTCTGCAATAGGCCGGTTGGCCTGTGCATGGCAGCTCCTGTCGAGAGTTACTACCACTCTCTCTCATCCATGAATCTATCTAGCCTCCTTTTGAAACTTTCCAAAGTTCCCGCACTTACTACAAAGTTGCTAAGCTTGTTCCACTCGTCCACCACCCTATTTGTGAACCAGTTTCTTCCTATCTCCCTCCTAAACCTAAACTTATCCAACTTGAATCCGTTGCTCCGAGTCCTATCCTGCTCGGATATTATAAGAACTTTATCTATATCCCCTTTATTGATTCCTTTCACCCACTTAAATACTTCTATCATATCTCCCCGCACTCTTCGTCTTTCTAGGGAATGCAAGTTAAGTTTCTTTAGCCTATCCTGATATGGAAGGTTTCTAAGTCCCGGAATCATTTTTGTCATTCTTCGCTGCACCGACTCTAGTGAATTTATATCCATTCTATAATAGGGGCACCAGAACTGAACCGCATAATCGAGGTGTGGCCTGACGAGCGCAAGATATAGTTGCAATAAGACCTCTGCACTCTTGTTACTTACACTTCTAGATATAAAACCCAATACTCTGTTTGCCTTATTTCGAACATTAACGCACTGTTTTCTAGGCCGTAGGTCCGGGCTTACAAGTACCCCTAGGTCTCTTTCACAAGTCGACTTCTCTAGGTTGATGTTGTTAAGGCTGTATACATTATAAGTATTTGTTCTTCCAATATTAAGTACGCTGCACTTGCTGGTGTTGAATTTCATTTGCCATTTTTCAGACCACCCCTGCAGTTTATTTAGATCCTCCTGTAATGCATTTGCATCCTGCCCTGAATTAATTTGCCGCCCTATTTTGGTGTCATCAGCAAACTTGCTTATGTCACTGCTGAGCCCAGTATCTAGATCGTTTATGTAGATTATGAACAAGAGTGGGCCTAGTACTGACCCCTGGGGAACCCCACTGGTTACATGGCCCCACTCAGATTTAACACCATCTACGCTGACCCTCTGCGTTCTATCGGTGAGCCATGATTTTATCCAATTTAAAACTTTCTCCTCGATACCATGAGCCTTAATTTTTCTCAGAAGCCTCTGATGCGGTACTCTGTCAAATGCTTTGCTAAAGTTTAAGTAAATAACATCGTAATTTTCGTCATTATCTACTACCTCGAAGACTTTCCTAAAAAACGTTAGCAGATTTGTTAGACAAGATTTTCCCTTTGTAAACCCATGTTGAGAGTCGTAGATTAATTTGCTTTTCTCTAGATGCGATCGGATGCTATCTGCTATAATTGATTCAGGAAATTTCCCCACTACAGACGTCAAACTGATCGGCCGGTAATTTGACGCTGGGTGGTCAGTTCCTCCCCCTTTCCTCACTCAATCGTGGCTAATTGTGATAGGGAGATGAATTTGATACCATAATGATCCCTAATAAATTCTCTAGAGATGTTTACAATAAGACATCCTTTATCAAATATTTTGATATGTTGATACCGGAGTCAGTAAATCAGTTTTAATTTCAAAAGACACACCTTTTTTTTATCAAAATAATGCCGAATACTTTATCCAGCAGTTTGGTTAAATAAATATATTAAAAACAAAAGCTCTATATGATACGTGCATGAATAGAGCTGTGTTACAATTTGTAGGAGCTGTAGTTATTTACTCAAACACCACTGTACAATATTGTTCATATTGTAAACATAACTTTTACTTTTATCCTCTTCACCACTGATCGGCTCTTTAGCTGCTTGGGCGATCAGTCACGTCTCTGTTACGCACTGTTGGCAAGTACTGGGCATGCACCGTCTCCTGAATGTACCTGAACCTGCTCTAGTGTTGGTCAAGTCTGGTCTTGAAAGAGCTCACACTCAGTGCCGTCACAACACTTTCTGGTAGATTGTTCCAAGAGTTCACAATTCTCACTCCGAAAAAGTTTGCCCTCACAGTTTTATGGACCTGTGGCTTCTTCAATTTTGAGCTGTGACCCCTTGTGGGGCGAGTGTCCTCCAGCTCCAAGTAAGGACACCCGACTGAGTAA